AAGTGAGTTTTGCCCTGTCCTACCCACACCGTTGCAGCACTGCCTTCCTGCAGGTACGTCCTCTTGGACATCATTGGGAAGGATAATGGTTTTGGAGTGGAAAACCTGCGAGCTGCTGGCACCATCGCTGGAGAGTCCAGTCGTGCTTATGATGAAATAGTGACCATCAGCATGGTATGACCTGTGCCCTTTCCCAATAGAGCTGGAAAGGATCACTGCTGCAGCCCACAGTCCCAGCAACCCTGCATGTGCTTGTGTGTGTGCCCAGGTGACTTGTCGTGCCATTGGGATCGGTGCGTACCTGGTGAGGCTGGGGCAGCGTGTCATCCAGGTGGAGAACTCCCACATCATCCTGACTGGGGTCACAGCTCTCAATAAGGTACCGTGCCTGCGGCCCGTATCCTCATCCAGTGCTGTCTCTTTACCCCTTCCCTATCCTGTGGGAAGAGGTGGAACACCCCCATGGATCCTCATGGAATGTGTTTGTTAAGGAAATGCCACCCTGCCGGTGTTTGGTGTTGCTTTAGGGGCCAGTGCTGGGTTGCAGGGACAGTTCAGCTGTGATGCCAGGAGCAGGACCCATCTCTGGGCACAGCTCTGTGGCCTTGAGCTGATTTGAAACCTTCAGGTGTCTAAAATAGGTTTTAACATCAGCCTGCTAGACAGAGATGGAAATTCAGCCTCAAAACAGAGGGAATGCACCCAGACAAAGGCGGATAAAAAATGATCTGGAGAGGCAGTGCCTGTGCTAGCAGAGACTTATCTATATTTCTCTGTTCAGGTGTTGGGGCGTGAAGTTTACACATCCAATAACCAGCTGGGAGGTGTGCAGGTCATGCACAACAATGGTATTTCCCACATCACTGTCCCAGATGACTTTGAAGGAGTCTACACCATCCTGCAGTGGCTCTCCTACATGCCCAAGGTAGAAGGGTGCTGCAGGATGGTGGCGTGGGGTGTTATGGGGGTACTTGGCTGGTAAGCTGCCCTTTGGGGCTTCCCCTTACAGGATAACCGGAGTCCAGTGCCTGTCATTGCCATAAGTGACCCCATTGAAAGAGAAATCGATTTTGTCCCTTCCAAAGTCCCTTACGACCCCAGGTGGATGCTGGCAGGGAGACCCCATCCAAGTGAGTGAGAGCAACCCAAAGCCCCTGCAGCAGTGTGCCCAAATGCAACCTGTGGCTGCAAACTCTTCCATCCTTGTGCTTTTTGCTGCACACTGATGCGCAAGGAGCCCTTAGGTGCACGTGGTTGTGCCTTTCCTCTTCCCTCTGTGCTCTGCAGCTCTCAAGGGGACGTGGCAGAGTGGTTTCTTTGACCAGGGAAGCTTCCTGGAGATCATGAAGCCGTGGGCTCAGACGGTCGTGGTTGGCAGAGCGAGGTACAGCTGTGAGCAGGGGATGCTTCCCAACCCCTGATGCACGGATGCCGCGAGCACAGTGCAAGTCATCTTTGCCCATGGCACCGCTTTTGGGATGGTGACCAGTGGGGTTGACTTCTCTGGGTGTACCATGGAGGGGAATTGGCTGCTACTGAGGCTGCCCTGCTTTCTGCAGGCTGGGAGGTCTCCCTGTGGGCGTCATTGCTGTCGAGACCCGCACTGTGGAGGTGACAATACCTGCAGACCCTGCCAACCCTGACTCGGAGGCGAAGGTGAGATCTCAGTGCTGTCATGAAGCAGAGGAACAGCACTGAGGCTGGGAGAACAAGTGAGGATAAAGCTTAGCACGGCCTTTTGGCATGTTTTGACTCCCCTTGAAAGCAGCAAGATCAGGGTGCTCTCATTTTGTCTCCTTCCAGCTCTCGTGCACTGTGTGCCGCTGACTGCTGTGCCTGGAGGCTCTGACCCCAGACTCAGCTCTGCTGCTCGCTGTCTGTTCCAGATAATCCAGCAGGCAGGACAGGTCTGGTTTCCAGATTCTGCTTTCAAAACAGCCCAGGCCATTCGGGATTTCAACCGTGAGCACCTCCCACTGATGATCTTTGCCAACTGGAGGGGCTTTTCCAGCGGCATGAAAGGTATCCAGGGTGCCCAGGTTGCTGCGCTGTGCCACCAGCCCTCCTGCAGCACTCGGGGTGTCCGGCCACTGAGTCCCTTTGTCTCCCAGACATGTATGACCAAATGCTGAAGTTTGGTGCCTTCATCGTCGATAGCCTGCGGGATTTTAAGCAGCCTGTCCTCGTGTACATCCCACCACACGCCGAGCTGCGGGGAGGATCCTGGGTGGTCATGGACCCCACCATCAACCCCCTGTATGTGGAGCTCTACGCTGACAAGGAGAGCAGGTCAGCCTCTGGTTTTCTCCAGTGCAAGTTAACATGCATCAGAGCAAGCTGGAAGGGAGAACAGCCAAGAGTCCCAATCTGGAAACAAAACCCTGCCGGGTTTTCTGTCCCAAATTCTTAGGGGATAAAGTTGCCTGAATTGAAATGCTTTCCTATCAGCAGTGACCTCTTTTCCCAGGATTTATTTTCCCCTGCAAATCGGTCCTTGCTTTACCAAACTTTCTTCCCAGGGGTGGCATTCTGGAGCCTGGAGGAACAGTGGAGATCAAGTTCAGGAAGAAAGATCTGGTGAAGACCATGAGAAGGATCGATAAGGTTTATGCCAAGCTTGTGGAGCAGCTGGGTAAGGGGAAAGGATCTTCAGCGCATGGGCCTTGGGGTGGCTAGGACGGGAGCACCAAGCAGGGCCCTTGCTGGGAAACAACAGCTGGTAATGTCCTGCAGGGACACCTGAACTGTCTGAGGGGCAGCGCAAGGAGCTGGAGAAGCAGCTCAAGGCCCGGGAGGAGCTCCTGCTGCCCATGTATTACCAGGTGGCTGTGCACTTTGCTGACCTGCACGACACCCCTGGCCGCATGCAGGAGAAAGGCGTCATCACAGTGAGCACGGAGGCTGGGGAAGAGGCTGCTGCAGGGGTTTTACAGCAGCAGTGTGAAGGGGAGAGTACCTCCCCCTTACACATCTTCCTCTGTGAAGGCTTAAGGTGGGCTCTGCCTGTTTCTGCAGGACATCCTGGAATGGAAGAATGCCCGCTCATTCCTCTACTGGCGGCTGCGACGGCTGCTGCTGGAAGAGGTGGTGAAGCTGGAGATCCTGAAAGCCAACAGCAAGCTGAGCCACATCCACATCCAGTCCATGCTGCGGCGCTGGTTTATGGAGACAGAAGGAGCTGAGAAAGTATGTGGGGCCTTGGTTTTACCTAAATCTTTTGCATTTTCTATAGTCTGTGAAGCTTTCATGGGTTCCGATTTCCAAACCAAGCCCTCTGTCTATGGCTGCTACATGGGTTAGGAGCAACATGCTGTGTCGTATGTGCAGGATGAGGAGGACAATGCCATTATCCACTGTGCCATGGGAGGAAAAGCCTGAGGATGTAGCAGAAGGGGGAGGATCAGAGCATGTGAGTAATGGGACCCCCTCCAATTCATGGTGCTGCTCTCCCCAGGGATACCTCTGGGACAACAACCAGGTGGTGGTGGAATGGCTGCAGAAACACATGAAGGAGGATGATGGCAGGAAGTCAGCCATCCGGGAGAACATCAAGTACCTGAAACGGGACTACGTGCTCAAGCACATCCGGAGGTGAGTGGCTGCAGGAGCTGTGTGTGAGGGCACTGCCGTCCCCTGTGCTGGGGACACCGGGTGGTGGGCTCCCAGGCAGCCACACTCTTCTGTCTGCCTCACAGCCTGGTCCAAGCCAACCCCGAGGTGGCCATGGACTGCATCATCCAGATGGCTCAGCACATCACTGGCGCACAGAAGGCTCAGGTCGCCCATCTCCTGTCGACGGTGGACAGTGAGAACCCGTCCTGAGCCAGCAGGAGGAGCACTGGTTCCTCAGCCCGCCAGCTGAAACCTTGGGCTCTCACTTTGTGCCTAAATAAAGGATGCCAATGTCTGTACCTTAAGCTATGAAGATGCTTTCTCCATCTGGTGCTGGGTTTGGCAGAGATAAGCTTGCTCCAAGCCAAAGCTGGAGTCTGGACCTGGTGCAGAGGCTGATTTTTAGAAGAATTAAACATCTTTTACTGTGTTTTAGTCGCAAGCCCATGCCTTAATCATTTAAACAAGCACCAGTGCCAGATGTTGCACAAGACTGGCTGGAGCTGGACGATGGGAGAGGTCTCCGTATGACTGTGTTGGGACTGACCATGCACTGGCATAAGGAAATATAAATACTGCTGAGGAAGGATCAGCCTCAAACTGATGCTTTAAAACAAACTCAGGAACTGCAAGGAGCCATTTGTCCCCATCCTTCCCTGCGCTGGGGAGCAGTCTGCAGACACGACCACCAAAAGCTGGCAGCCAGAAAAGACATCAAGCTGTTCTGGGACTGGCTGCAGTAGGGCTATCAGTGGGGATGTCAGCTGACTGTGTCACTCTGTTGCAGGAGCATCACACTGGGCTTAGCTGTGGCTCTGAGCGGGGAGCACAGCGACAGTGCAAGGGGGGGACAGCTGCTTTGAGGGCAGCACTGGGACTGATGTGATGGGGTTTTGTTGGCAATTTCTTGGTTGTGTCTATGCTGGGGACTGCAGGGAGGAGGTCTCCTCAACCTCATAGCGAGGATGAGAAAGACACAAGGAGATGCTTTCTGGTATGGAAGGAGTCAGTGCACTGTCAGGGATCTTGGAGTGCTGCTGCTCACTGTGCAGGAGGTGATGGAAACATTCACCCAGACCAACACCAATAAAATGAGCACTGTCCTCAAGGGAAACTTTTCCTTGTTCTGTTCCTGAAACTGTTCCTGAGCTCTTTTGTTTTGTCACTGTATAAACCCAGGACCTGAGAAGGAAGGGAATAGTGACTGCTGCTGTGCGGCATGCAGCACAAGAAAAGGGAATAGCTGTGGTCCATAGCATCCCTCACCATGTATTTAGGTACTGAGATTTGCAGCAATAAGTGACCATGCTGAGCTGCAGCACAGCTTGCTTGCCACCACAGTAATTACAGTGCAGCACATCTAGAATGAGGCAGGTTTCGTGCTAAGAAATATTTATTTTTTAAAAGATGAAAACAGCATAGATGACACAGCAAATGATCAGTAATCACATTTGTTCTTGGACAATAAACTACGACCTGGACAACCACGGTCTTCTGGAAGAGACTGACATGGATGCACGCACTTAGAAAGGTACAGGTATGCACATTTTCCAGCCCCTGACTCTCCCAGCAGTGTCTTTCAGCACAAGGTACCTGCGCTGGCTTGGTGGGGCTGCTTCAGCATCTGGCTGCCCTGCGGTGGCACAGCTGGGTGCTGCAGTGCTGCTTTGTGCCTGGATGGAGGCTGGAGAGGCTGCGTGCTGTGAGCAGCCCTGGCCCCATGCACTGCAGGTACGAGGACTGGGACTGCCAGAGCCCTGAATGGAACAGACAACACATGAGACACAAATACGACTGCGAGGTCACAGAGCTAGAAGTGGACTAAAGGCTAAATTTCAACGTCGTTTTCAGGGTTGTTTTTTTTTTAGCTGTTGGATGTTTCATACAATTTCTTTTCTTTGCATCGTGCGACACCAAGTATAAAGTGGAGTATGTAAACCTGAAAATCTAAATCAGGAACAATTTTACTTGGGCTAATCAGAATGGGAAGGCGAATTGGAATGGTACAGTTAGGATATTTGGTCTCTGAATTTAAGAAAAGAAAACAAACAATGAGTTTCACAGTATTGAAAGTGCTTATTTAAGAGAAATGTAGTGTAACAGTGACTGAAGTGGTGTTTTTGAAGGTGAATAACTTAGTTGATGTAAAACAGGTTACTGCAGCATTTAAAAGAATTTGAACAGTGCTCAGTTTACATAGTTTCTCTTCATAACAATAAATATAAATAAATTTACAAATAGTAATACTGCCTAGCACAAAAATGGACAGAAGCACAATGCACAGTACTATAAAAAAGGCAAATCTAATCTTTTTTAAAACAAGTCCTAAAAATAGGCATAATTCCTAAAAGCTTCTAGCCAGTGATCAGCTTCATCATTCAGTAGTACCGGTTCCTTCCTGGGTAAGGGCTTTGTTTTAAGCCCTAGACACAGCAGTTGTCTGCTATGGATTTCTCATTAATAATCTTTTTGCTCCTTTTTTTTCCCCCAGCTCGTAACAATAAGTTAGCAACAGTTACATCAGAAAAGTGTTAGAGGTGCAAATGCCTCCAAAGCCTACGTGTGATCTTTGTTCAAGGCAACAGTCATTTGGCAACATGAGAAGAAAGATGAAGGTGGTACCAGATCAACCCTTTTGGATGTGAACTTGGTGCTGATCCAGCCACTGAGTTGTGTTGGCCTCTGTGTGTGTGACAACAGAACAACATCAAGTAAGTTTAGATTAGAACGTCAAGCAAACATGTTCTCCTTAACTGGACTAGTTTTCAGCTCAGCTCCATTCTAGTAGAAGTTCCTGCTGACTGATGCCTTCCAAGTCCTTAAGAGCTCACCAGCCCTGCAACACAACCATCCAATCTTAGTCCTGGCATGGATGAAAGGTACAGCAGAACTCCACTGGTACTGGTTTGAGTTATTTTGGCATTGCGTGCTGTGTCCCAGTAAACAGCCAACACTTTCCAAGCGTCTGCAGGAGGAGCCGTTTATTGCTTTCAGGTTGGATTTTAAGGGTTGGGAGAAACTGGCCCCTGAATTCAAGGTCCATGGAATGGTGCAACATTTAGAGCAGGGCGATGGGCTTGTTGCCTTGAGGGTTCATGTACTGAGCTGCTGCTACGTTGTCCACGGAGGTGTAAGTGGTATAAAGGCCTGTGACCTGAAAGTCTGACAAGGAGTGATCGCTGCCACTGGAGATGGGGGTGAGGCCAGGAGTGCCCAGGTCACAGTCTGAGAGGTGCAGGGGAGAGTTGCTGAAGGCACCCAGTGTGTCAAGGCTGAAGCTGTCATCTTTCATTTCCTCCCATATGTTACCTTTAAAAGATTAAATTCCAGTCACAGCAACACATCCAACCTGTTCAGGCACTGTGGGGAGGGGGTCAGTCCTTAACTAAAGGGTTTTAGGTGCTGCTTAGAAACAGCACAGTTTGCAGCTCTGGAGTGCAAAGGCAGTGAGTGTCTGTTCCCCCCACAGGCCTCTGGGCTCCAGCAATCCAGTCCTTCCTGGACAGCAGCTACCTACCATGTGCTGACCAGAAAGAAACCCAAGGATCACGCTAAGGATCTCCATAAGCCAAAGATTTACAAATGAGAGAAACCACGGCACAAGTAGAGCTATGGTTTCTGAGGGATGGAGGGGTGTGATGTCCCAGATCTTTAGGGGGACATGTCTATTGATATCTAATGCAGTGCTTGAACTTGAACCATGAGGGTAGTTTGCTTTCCTAACTAGCACAAGGTAGAAATGCAATGAGGAAGGCTGGGGAAGTCAAGCTGCACAGGCCAGAACCCAGCGCGAGATTTCATCTCAGTTAATTCCATCCCAGTGAGTCCTGCTGAAGCCCTTGGATATATACTCAGCAACGACACAATCGTATAAATTCTGCCCTCCACTCCCCCAGCTTCCTTCTCCTATACCTTGCAATGCAAAATCCATAATGCTTGGGTCCAGAGCATCCACCTCCGTGTTCATGTCTGTGGTCATGTTCAGGAAGTCGGGAGGGGCACGGCCCATGGGGTGGTGGGGCAGAGGGCTGTGGCTGATGTCAGGCAGAGTGTGGAGAGGAGGAGTCTGTGCAGGTGCTGGGGAGTCCGGCGCGATGCGAGCCTGGGTCTGGATCTGGTGATGCAGAGGGACAGACTGCAGAGAGAGCGTCATGATCGGTTGGGGCTGCAGCTGGGAGATGGAGATTCGGCCTTGGGCTGCTGCCATGTGGGTCAGGGTAGAGATCTCAGGTTCTGCCTGCTTACTGGACCGCCTGCAGTTCTCAGGTCTGTCAGTAATCAGCTTGTCCAGCTCCTCTGTGCATGCAATGCCCGTTCCCAAGGAAGAAAAGAGGAAGTTTAACCCATTTGTTCAAGTAGGTTCCTATCAAAGCATTTCATTCATTTCATTCGTGAGCACAGCTTTGCACTTTTGCAATAAAACCTAGAAGGCAAGCAGCATCTGTGACTGTGTGAGAAGCAGCACGAAAGGCAAGCTTTGACTGTGCAAACTGACCGTTCAAAGAGCAAAAAAGTGCCATCTGCTTCCCTCCCCTTAGCCCATACCCTAGTCAACTTCCATAGTAACCCCTAACACAGCTTGAAAAAAAATAAAGAATCACATGAAGTTTGCACAGAGCAACCCAACCAGCATGGGCAGCATGCTTGGAAGGTCTCCTGCTCACAGCAACACTCTGAATTCTGCTTCTTTCCCAGGTGAGATTCACGTGAGAGCCTCCTAGCAGTTTCAGTGGCACGATTGTGTTTAAGTAAAGGAGAATGTAATTTATCAGATCGTGTATTAAAGAATTTACAGGAAAACCTTCTGGTTGATTTTTGCCAACACCGAGCTGCTGAAAGCTTCAAAAACAAGCATGCATTTTTATAAGTAAGAATGAGAGCAAAGAGTTTTGCAGAGCAACAGCCTAAATAAATAAATAAATAAATAAAAGCTGACACTATAAATGCTAACACTGGAGGCAGCATAACTCTTCATAATGTGCTAGATAAGTTAGTTAGCACGGAGGAAGAAGATAACCATCTAGAATGTGGGGACCAGTTTATGCTGAGAGCTTCCACGTCCTCAGCAAGGGTAATGACCCAATTCAGTGCAGAGCACAGGGATCGTTTTGGCTGTGCAGGTTTAAGGCAGAGGTTGTTGGAAGGCCTGAGAGCTCTGTGCTACAGGACTGTTGTGCAGGACTTGCTTGTTTTTGTTTCGTTTTTCTTTTGTTTTAATTTGTGTATTCCTGGCCAAACAGACACTTTTAACACAGGCAACAGAAGTGTAATATAAGCCCTACCTGGGTTAGCCATGCTCCTGTGAATAGCAGCTAAGTCCTTCCGCTTCCACTTCTGCATCTCCTCTTCCATTTTGTCAATCTTGGCAGGATTGAGAGCCCACAGACATCCCTTGCGCGAGGTGCCACTCATTTTGTTCTCCACCTTCTCAAAACACTTATTCAGGGACAGGTTATGACGCACGGAGTTTTTCCAGCCATCGGGGGCTGTCTAAAAGATGCAGAAAGATGTCAGAGAAATATGCTGAGAACAAAGTAAGTGATGTTCTACTCCCAGCTGTATGCATACCTTGAAGTAGGGAAAGTGTTCCTTCATGAAGCTGTAGATCTCACTCACAGGGAGACTGCCCGTTTTGCTGTTCTTCAATGCCATTGCAATTAAGCAACTAGAGGACAGAAAAACATTGAACAACAGTTGCATATGCAACAGGTTGCATACATCATGTTGTCTCCTGGTCTAGCAATCTCAGGTCCATCTCCATTCAGATACAAACACCTGGCTGACCACGGGATTCCCCTGGTAGTCTGTTTTCCCCTAAGGATCTATAGTCAGTGAGTTTTCAAGTGCTCAGAAGGCACCCTCTGATCCTGCAGATTTTACTTCCCTGTGCTGTTTTTCTACCTTTATGCCAATGGCCAGGAACTAGTTTGCTTGTTCAGTCCTGCTACCCCCCAGAGGCAGTTTCCACAGAACTCTCGGGTGGCTGAATTGATCTGTGTTCCCTTCAAACAGAATCAGATGCTCTTGTGCTGTCCCACCTGCAGTGAAGTCATCCCAAAACAGGCTCTGAGCAACACGCTGTGCTGGTATCTACTCACCTGTATGAATAGATGGGCTTGGGGTAATGTTTTGGATGCAGTTCTTGGGCAGAGTGAGGAGCCAGGCGTGGCTGAGGGTAATGTGGCTGGGTGCCATAGGATGTGTTGTAGATTGCTGCTGGGTTACACTGTATGCAAAGGAAAAGAAGAAGAGTGTCCATGACTGTGTGTAGGCTTAGGGCTTTTTCTTCTGAAAGAGTTCTAGAGATGTTCTTAGAAGGCACCCTGAGACACGGACCACAAGTAAATAACAGTACCTGCTGTGTATTCTGGGCTATGGCAAACACTTGCTGTGGATGAGGAGGGAAGAGCTGCTGCTGTGTCTGTAAACCAGGAGAGGGCTGCCCACCTACAGAGTACTGGCTCATCTGCAGAGACAAAGACAACAGACGTGTCAGTCTTCAGATTACCAATATCTTTTCCTAAGAAGTGTTGCAAGGGTTGCTCTTACATTGGCTCCATGTGATGAAATAGAATTCAGTCCCAGGACTCCTTGTGGCATGCTGGCCTGGACATGAATCATTGCTCCAGGTGCTCCTGTGGAGTGCATGTTGCTTGCCACAGGACCTGTTTTGAAAAAATCAAGTGTAATAAATGTTCATGTGAAAGTACACTTCAGAAAAGAGAGCTGACATTTATTTGTAATAGGTGCACTTCAACGCAGCTAAGTCTGGAGTGGATAATCACACCTCTCTATGGCTTTCCATCCCAAAAGAACTCTGAACCTTTCACAGATTGCAAAGCTGACTTTGGCTGCTTCCAAAACTTGTTATATAGAGACTGAAAGATGACAGGTGTTTAACAGTCCGCAGTGCTCTTACAGACACAGTATCTTACAAAAGGAAAAAAAACTATCCAGAAACAAAACACAAATTCAGAGCTCTCTATACTCCAGACGGATTTCTGCTCTAAAGCAAGCAAGATGATATGCTGAGCTTGCTCGGCAGAATGCCTTGGGGAACAAGTGTGTTTGCCTGAAGGATGCTCACAAAGAAAAGAAAGGCGTTCAGTGAACAGATGCTGTAAGTCTGTGTGAAGCAAACAGGTATGGGGTAAATAAGATACTCTTAGTTTTATCAGTGTTGAAACAAATGAGAAAGATTAATTACCTAATTTCCAAGCTGTTGAAAACCTCTGAAATACAAGTATTAAATACCTTGGCCCAATTTCACACATGGCAACTACAACGAGCAGAGCAGTCTGCTGGATCCTAAGATTGCTGCTGTGACAGCTAGGACTCTGCCTCTTGAAGTGAAAGAAAGATTCAGCAATGTTTTTAGGAAGACAACAGGCTCCAGGCCTTCTGTCAGGAAGCAAAAAGTAATGTACCTAAAACAAACCCACTACTAGGAAAGCTGAAACGTGTGGAGGAAAGTGAAAGGGGCAATAGGCTGGGTCATTTCAATAGCAGTTATTTACCACCCTAACAGTTTACCTGTCTGTTGTAACATTGCATTCTGGGCACCAAGGCCAAAATCCATTCTTCCACTGGCCATCTGTTGTAACCGAGGAACATCAACAGATGTCAGCCACGACAAGGACTGCAAGTCACTGGGGAGGTCATCTTCACTCAGCTGGGAGGGATCAGAAGCTAAGAGCCTGCAAAACAGCACAAGAGGTTAGAAAAGAGTAGAGAGATGCTGCAAAACTGCTCCCGGTAAGAAGGGAGATGTCTGGGATGCCTGAGCTCATGGAGGTCAGCGGGGAAATGCATCAGGCTGGAATTCTGCTTGCAGAGTTCGGATGTGACCTTTTGTTTCACAGCTGGCTTGTTACTGACATCCTTTGCTTTTTAATCATGTGTTCCTTTGTACAATTTGAAATGTTTTAGTTAAGAAAACATTCTGTGCAGTGTTTATAGGGGAAGAAGTCATGAGAACCTGGAAGAGAAACTGCCTAGAAACAAAACCCAATGACTTGTCATTTTCACTTTTGTCTGAAATCTGTTCTTGTAGGGCCTTGATGTAGAAGAAACCTGTTAAGACTCTTAACCTGACAAATCTGCATTAGCATTAAAAGGCAGTGAGCAGCAAGCCTTGGAAATGTTTCTGTGCCCAGATCCACCACAGCCTGCTGCTGGCTTTAACAGCTGGGGAGAGCTTTTCCCAGCCCCTGTGCATCCCACTGGTGGGTGCATAAGTGAAATTTCACATAATGAATCATTGATCTTTTCCATTCAGAGATATGAAGTTACTGATCATTAACAAGGAACCATGAAGCTTAGAAACAATCTCTCTCATGGATGTGTTGAAGCCAACTGTGTAGCACTAATGCATGTTTATTGCCAAATAACGATGCAGAAGTCTTAAAGAAATCTGGTCTCATGCTGAACCATCTTTTACGTTCCATATGATTCCAAGGCAGCTCAAAAGAACAAGAACAGAACTCTAATGCCTGGCAGCCCAGGGGCATTCAGCCCCTCTATTTGTGATTTCCTGAAACACACATTAGAAGTTCCAGAAACTGTTATCTGGGAAATCCTGAAAGCAGAATGTCATTTGTTTGCTTGTAAAAAGGCTTTGAAAAGAAGGAGGAAAAAGAAAAAGCCACGAGCAGGAGCCAAAAGTTAAAATCCTGGCCAGAAACATCTTCACATCTCTCTCCTAGCCTACCGCATTTTCTTTCTGGTACTGTAGTTAAAGTGCAATAATTAGCATTGCCATGGTTACCACTGTTCAGTTATTTTGTGAGGCCTGGGACTTAAATACAGGAAAAGAATATCAGGTGACCACTCACCCGGCCCAGAGATTGGCTGGATTGGAAGAAAACAAGAGCATTAAATGATTTGAAAACTGGGCAGGCTCATGTCGTTTGCAACAGTTGGGCCCATTCATTGTAAGCCGATAACCCATTGTGGAGCAAACGACTGTTGCCCAGTGGCACGTGGCCTCCATTGTTTTTGGGATTCTTGCTTAATTGTTTTTCTCCCCCCTCCTCCTTTTTACCAACTCCACATTAATCTGGCTGAATGACAGCCGACACACAACACGCATACACATGCCATCTGGCACCCCGGTCCCTGCCAGTCCTCCCAGACAAGTCAGCCCCCTCAACAAACAGCGGGGTCAGATGGGCGGCGAGGGTCAGCACCCACCACACACGCCTCCTGTCAGCCCATGAATCCTCCACATGCCCTCTGCTTCTCTGAGCATCTCCGTGCAGTGGGGCTGGGGCTGTGCAGCAGCCTTCCCTGAGTGTCTTTTAGTGGAGAGAAGGTCCCTGTTTCCCTGCTTATCCTGGTGGAGACTCGCATAGCGCTTCCCAGACGTGCAGTGGTCTGGTGATATGCTCTGGAAGATTGGGTGCTATCCAAAATTGGATGATCCTCCCCCCAAGATCACACTGCCTGCCTCTCAGCATCACTGGGAGACATGCAGCTCCCTCATAGAATCGTAGAGCATTTTGAGTCGGAAGGGAGACCCAAAGGCTGTCTGGTCTGCAGTGTGGTGCACAAGGACACCCACAGCTCCATCAGTGCTTACAGCCCCATCCTCTGAGCACGGGTGTCCACAGGAAGCACCACCACCTCTTTGGTCAATCCATGCCAGTTCTTTGCTGCCCTCCTTGTCAACAACTTCCTAATACCCAATTTAAACTCGGTGTCACACTCACTGAGCTCCATTTCAAACAGACACCAAGATGCAATGGTAGAGGCAAACAACAAGGCAAGGTGTGTGAGCCAGTTCTTTGTCCAACACAAAGATGTCTTCCTTTCTCTGTGCTAGCATGGAACAGCTGTTGGGATTCAAGACTTTGAAAAGCATGCCTGGTTGCTCCCTTACATGTTTTCACTGGATTTGGTAGTTGTCGGAATATCTGTTCTCATTAATCATAGGGGAAAAGAAAAAGTTTTGTCAGAATGAGAAAAAATATTTCACAGTTGAAGACTGAAGCAATGCTGAAATTTCATATACCTTCAAGAAGGCAAGGCTGCTTACAGTGCATCCATTTGTTCTCCAAGGCGTTTTAAGCGCCCAGATTTATTCTGCAGCATAAACCCAGCTTATCTCACAGTACACAGGCTCAAGGCGTTCCTGATTTTAGTGAAAAATGCTCATCTGACTCTCTCTGGAAAGAGAGTAATACAGTAATACCTAACACTGTAATGTCATAGGGTTCAACCTTTCTGACCCGAAAAAAGCACCAGTGCCAGGCCAACTACTAATGCAAAAATACACACTGTAATACCACGTGCTCAGATTCCACTCCCCTCCGCCATCCTTTCTGTCTCACATTTCAGGGTAAACTTCAGGAGTCAGAGATCCTGCCTGTAGATGGGTGTTCACAGCTCCTGGCACAATGGGGCACTGTAGTAAAAGCAGCCATTTCCTTTCAATGCATGTAAATGAGATAAATAGTGATACGCTATAATTAATGCACGCTGCCGAAAATGTCCCCAGCTGCACATTCCCCAGGGCTGTCTGGTGCATAAGCTCAACAGCTACATCCTATGCAGGAAGGTTCCAGTTGCATCAAAGTTGTTACAAACATAATATTATCTTTTAAAGGTGTGGTGAAATGATGCAATTCCATTTTCAGCCCTCTCCTTTCAACCCTCTGCAGGAAAAAAAAACCTGTCCATGTGTTTCTACCCTAGAAAGGTAACTGCATTAGTAAGAACCCATGTGATATTGAAGATTTATGCCCCAGCTCTCTGTGTATCAGAGGATGCTGGCCTTCTTTGAAAAGCACCCTGAGATCTACAGTATGTGATACAGAAGTGCTTGGTATAGCACTCATCATTGCTATCTGCTCTATTATACTCTATTATATATTATAGTTGCCCAAAATATTTATCCACTTGAGATAAGCTCCAACAGAGCTTGGTCATCAGCCAGCCTGCACAAGGTTTAACTTGAATTAGGATGAATAACATGGAAAGGAATCCCCTTATGCTGACCTTATAGACTTTCCTGCCAGCAATCACCGTGGAATTGGACTCTTGCATTGGTTGCACTTACGACCAAGACCACTTGAGTCTGTTAGCAGTGCAAAACACTGCCACGTTTGCTATCTGAAACAGCTCCTATACAGGTAGGAGACACCAACTAAACAGCTAGCTACATGGAAAGAAATTCCTTCCTGACACAACCCTGCAGGAGCCTGGAATGCTAGAACTGAATTTGGATCTACATCCGTGAACCTCGTGTTGAGCTGGATCTACTGAGCTGCATCTCATGCAGTTCATCAGAGCAGGAGAAGCTGTGCAGGTGATCCAGCCACTTCTACACCTGCAAACTCTGGTGCATGAGGAATTTGACTTCGGAGAACACAGCAACCATCTCTTCAATGGTGCTATAGACCAGCCTGCCAAACACCCCTGCTGAGGCTAAAGAAAAGCCTGGCAGTGACAAGTATGCCTTCAAATATTTTCTCTCTAGGTGGTTTAGCCAATAACTGGGGATTCTGGTTTATAATACAGTATGCAAAGTGACATATTTCTGTAGGTATTGTGCCCTCCACCCTTCAGAGGACTCTGCCTGCATGGAGTCTGTCTCTAAAAGCTGCAAAGCACTCAAACTGGTTGATGTTGCATGGTGAGTCTGATGCAAAGGGATTCGAGCGTGGCAGCAACTCAGCATTGCCACTGCTCTAAACAAACCCAGACCAAAACACCACGGCTGTTTTGCATGGCATATTCAACTTCGACCATAATGTTCTAATGTCTCTCAATGGAAAATTTTCATTATCCCTGCCAGCACTGACTCTGGAGCATAAGTAACACAACTTCGAGTCAGCAGTGATAGATTCTTAATTAGCTGCTTGCAATGGTTTATCCAGAGAGTGACAATTCAACAAGAATCCTACAAAAACTTTCCCTTGAATTGGTTCTCAGAAACTGTTTTCTTTTGTCTGGGATTATGTAACGGCCTCAGAACAAGCACAGCAATTTCTGATACATAAAGCAACACAAGGAAAACAGTAGTGTTTTGTGACTCTTCAGCTGTCTCCATGGTGAGAATTATTCTGTTTTACTGAGTCAACCTGTCTTCTTTCGCTCTTCACTGACGGTTCTGCTCTTCCCTGCTACCTACACTTCTCTTCCCACCTTCCCCCTTCCCTGCACCAGGGTCTGTTTTCCACACTGCACAGCCATCAGTCCCCTTTCTCCTTGCTCTGTCCCAGCTGCTCTCACTGCTGCTTTTGGTCTGCAATTCCACTCTGCCTTTTGAAATCCCACTACCCATCCACTCCAAAGTGCCCAGCCTGCCTTTCTCCTCCCTGTCTTCAGAAATTTAGTAATTTCTGGCCTTGCTGGAAATAAGAAGAGAAATTAGGCAGCGGTCCAGGAACAACCAGAACATCCCTCCTCTACTACAACTCGGGAAACTTTAGATTAGATGAACCAAAGCAAAAAGCAAATAATTACCCTGTCAGGTGTTGCTCTTCTCCTTTTCATAACACCATGGCTCAGAAGAGAAGGTGATTCTCCAAAAACCTTCTGCAAAGATATTTATCCTCTAAAAGAACCAGTTATAGAAGTGCTGTAAGAGACTTTTATACATCTCAGCTCAGAATTTCACAACACCCCGTTACCTCATTTTGGTATGGGATGAAGGGAAACTGAATTACAAGTGACCTACATGATTTGCTTAAGCCTAACAGGAAGTGAGCAGCAGTGTCAGCAGCAAACCCAGAGCTCACTCCTTGCTCTGCTTCACCCACACAGTCACTCTTTCTTCCTGTAGGTTAAGATTTCCCAGATGCAGCCTGTATCTTAATCTACAGTATGTTTTGTTGGGGGAAAAAAAAAAAAGAAAAAAAGAGCTGTAACTAATGTCAAAATAAGTTTCTTCTTGATGCAAAAATGTGTTGAAGCATCTGATGCTACACGAATGTTCTGTGTAACGGTCAGTTGCGTTGTCTACTGGGGAAGCTATTTTTTCCTTTAACATTGCTTCAGCTGCTATTCATTAGCAAAGAACTGATTTACTTGCCTGGGATCCTGTGCAGATAGTTAATCCAGTGTAGAAGGGACATGAAATATGCCGTGCTTTGCGCTGCTGTCAGACCTGTCTCCCTTGCAGAAGTTGTGCTGCGCTTTCCGCACAGGCGAGACTTTTTCAGTGGGCAAAAGAAGAGCGGGGAGCCCTGAGCACGTGAGGTTTCTCACAAGAATGCTGAAAAAAAGGCAAGTTTTCTGCTTCCTTGTCTTGAATTGAAGGTCAAGCACCTTTTATGAGGTAACACAGGAGCTCAGTTCTGGTTTCATTGGAAACAGAAGAGCCTTGGAATCTTGCTAGGTACTGCCCAGCTACAACCAGTCCTTCCCAGCTCTGGCAGCAATTGCAAGACAATATGAGAAGCAAGGGCCACTATTTTTTTTTTTTATTAATACTGATTAGCACATTTCAGGAACTGCATAGGAAACAGTTGAGCTAATCCACTTAAATCAATCCACTGCAGCCTCAGTTTGACTGATTCCTAGGAGGTTTCTCACATTTTTTTGAAAGAATGAAGCAAGTCCTGTGATGAAATTCCTCCGACACATCGAGTCATTATCTCACTCCCTGTCAGACACACATGGTGTCAAGGGAATGGACACTGACATTTTCTTCAGGAACAATTATGATGTGGTTAGTTATGCATCTGTAACCTTTTGTCTGCAGAAATTTACTTCGTGCAAACCCCAGCCTCCATCTATCCACAGGATTGATGGTGGAAAACACCCAACTGTAGCTCGCTCCAAAACCAGCTATGAGACTACTACTTAGGAGAGCCAAAATGTCCCGAGTGCCATAAAAGATAAAGACTGTCCACCATTTTCACCTCTGTAACGCCATGTCATCTCTGGTCATGTCTAGAACATAGGGAACGTAGTGGTTACGTGTTGGTTGTCTGTGAAGACTGTAGACATGGCAATCCAAGGCTCATGGGATTTGCTGCCAGGATTAAGCAGTCGCTGAATCAATGGTTAGAGAAAGTAAAACCATAACTGTTCAGGACATGAACTAAAGGTCAGCTTAACCCAAAAACCTTTTAAAGCACAATTTGATGCCAAACTGTGTGTGTAGAAATTCAAGGTTACAGAAAAAGAACTGAATTAGATTAGCTGATCAGTTTAATATCGTATAAATACTGTATTTAAGAATCAAAGGGACAGTTAAAATGGGAAGAAGAGGAAGGACAGTCTTCTGATATATTGAATACTTCATAGTCACGTAAAAGCCTACTTTAGCCAAGCCAAAAGTAAACTACTGTAAATCTGTTATTTTCCCTTCATCTGCCTCAGTGGGGCTCCAAATCCTAAAGGTTTTCATGTTAAATCCAATTCTGCACTCGAATACATTGCAATAGATCTTCTACTTCTCTTGCACCAGTTATTAATGCTCAGCAAAACTAAACTGCAAGAAAATGAATTGCAAATTTCAATACTGCTTATATTACTTATATTCAGTATTTCTTGGAGCACTCACAAGGCAAATAAATAACTCAAAGACCAGCTCCAAGCCCATTGAAGATTATGAAAGTTCTCCATTGGTTTAGAGTCTTTGAGTGGGCTCCTATAACTCACATAGCTTTGTGCTGAAATGATACAGGAGCACCACTACAAGGTAAGCATGTACTCTGATTCCACATCAAAATACTTATGCAGCAGCACAATATTCAGTTATTCATTAGAATTAGCCAAGTGTTGAAGTCTTGAAAGTTTAAAAATCCCAGTGTTAGGATTCTCTGCCTTTATTCCCCAAAATGTGAAATGAAATCATCAGCAATTCTTGTCACTGCTACAGTTATGAAAATACTGAAGGTAGGAGTATTTTCTCTGGGAAAGTTGATAGAGGCACTTTTTGGCTAATAGGCAGCTTCACTTTGCATTGACAGCCTGGCAGTGACAGTCCCAGAGAAATGTAGGAGCTGGGGAAGCTACCATGGCCCTAATCATTCCCAGACAGCATGATGTTTTACATCTCACAGAAGAGATGTTTGCCCAAATAATTTTATCAAGGTGCAAACAGCCCAGGTCTTTGCATAGAGTAGTTAGGAGGATTAGGCTGCCATGTGCTGCGTCAAATATGCTACAGATGCTTTAGATCCAGAGAATTCTAATGTCTGCTAACATTAGTGATTTTTTTCCTCTTCTTTTTTTTCTCCATTAAAAAAATCAGTCATTTTGAGATCTATGCATACGTGCATGAAAACGTATAGGTATTCACTGCTTTGATCCCCAGCTCACATGCACACACGCTCTCCCCCTTTTCAGCATTTTCTGCTGCAGCCTCACAGGAAAGCCTGCTCTCCTCTAAGTCCAATTGCCCAATTGAAAGATTCCAAGTGAGACAGAAGAGCATTCTCAGCCCAGACCCAGCCTCCCACTCACTAATTGGAGGCCATTCCCCATTTTGCAGAGCCTTGATGCTCCCCCATGGAGCACTCGGGACTGTGGGTTCCAGTGCTGGACTGTGGTGACAGCAGGAGAGTAAACAGAGCTGATAGAATTTGACAGGTCTATTCTTTTCTTAAAATCATTCAGTCTAAAAGATTTTCTTTTACATAATCCAAAGTGTTTTCTCATGAAGTAGGACAAATACTGCTCTGCATTTATGGTGCAGTTCAGATTTTATGCATTTTTATCAGAATTCGCCACTATAAAATGAGGTCAAATAATTCACTTTAAAGCTGCAGTAAAGAAATCACAAATGGGTTAAAAACTTCAGAGAACTCTGATCTTCGAGTTCAGAATGTTTAACAGAGATTAAAAGTAGTTTTTAAAAGGAGCTGACTTCCCAATAAAGGAGAAACTCTTACAATTCCTTTATTGGCACTAAGATAAATCCAATCTTTCTCAAAGGAAAAAAAAAAGGGGGGGCTTTTTAAAATGAGTTAAAGAATAATTCTCCCCATAATAAGGGTCTTTGTTAGGGTGGTGTGCTCTTCAAGGCACTGATACAGACTTAAATGTAAGCACCCAGAAACCTCTCTCATACACACCCCTCATTAAATACTGAATATTTCTTTACAAATATTTACACAGCCAACAAAACGTCCGGAGCAAAGAATGCTTTAATAAACAGCAAAACAGAGTTCCACAACCCTTCTTCCACAGTGGCTGAGGAGGGTATAACAAATCACTTGTTGAGCTGCAAGGGGCTGCAGTGCAGTGTTTGCATTTTGAATAGAGAGAGGCTGATAGAAGAATACCTGCGGCTGAGCACTGGTACCCACAGAAAACACCCTCAGGCTGGGAGGGAGGAGAGAACCTCTCACTCCTCATTTTAAAACAACAACAACAAGAGAAAAAAAGAAAAAAAAAGAGATCCTTTTCTTTATTGTAAGAGCCAGATCGTGTTATTATGTGTTTCTTGGAACTTGGCATCATGTGACAAGATGTAACCTAACTTAACCCAGCGCACTGTAATTCATGCAGAACTATCCCATGACTTCTAACAATGCCTTTGCATGATGAAAGATGTGTATTGGTATAGAAAAATTATCAGAGGCTGTTGGCAAAACCAGATTTGCTCTCACCAATATTATTAGAACTAATATATATATAAACTAGTGCTTTGGAGTATTAGGTATGTACTTTGCTTGTCTTAATGAAAAATTTATCTGGTGCTTATTGCATGTGATTCAGTCTTTGCACAATAATGCAAAAGGCAACCTGAAAGGAAACTCTTAGATAATTCTAAATTAACAATAATTGATCTACATGTTGTCTGGTAACACTCATACAGGAGAGAGAGAGTGGAAGGTCAGCCCGTGGCTTGGAAGGTGCATTTAATATGGCTTAGCATCAAATTGCTTTAAATAGGAATCACTCTAAGTAAGCAATGAGTTATAGCTGCCCTCCACTTTGTTCAGCTCGAGAAGAGCAAGAGGAGCAAGAGAAATGACACAGCTGGCTTTTTAGAACAGGGTCGCATAAGGAAACGGTGAGAATCATTTGTGTGCCATCAGTTGGCAGGTTTTGGTGGTGCTGTGTGGTTCTCCACCAATAAAGCCCTCACCTGTACTCCTGGGCAGCGTGCTGGCTGTGCCCTGAGCTCCGGATGAGTCCTGACATCGTGGACGGGAGGTCGCTTTCTATCATCTCCTTAGGAAATTAAAAAGAAAAAAAAAAAGAGGGGAAAGGGGGGTGGGAGAGGAAGAAATAAAACCGAAGAAAACATTTATGGGCACACACGCAGTAGCTATCCAGCACTTCAGCACGGGGAAGGGACCGACAAAATTCCAACCGAAAACCCCAAGCGATGGGAAAGCGGAACCAAAGGCGCCACCTCCGAGCGCGCTGCCCGCTCTTAGGCCACACAACCAGCTAAAAAACGCTGTCATAAGGGCGAAGCCAACGCGCTCGGCGATTCACCGCGAGCTCTGCCCCGAGCACGGCGCGGCGCTGCGGGCCGCCCTCAGGTGAGCGCAGCCCCGCCGTGCCCCAGGGCGGCCCCGAACCCGCGACCCCCGGATCCCACCAACCTGGCGGCCGTCAGAACGCGGCGCTGCGCGCCCTCGGGGGGGCGGTTCGGTCCTCCTCAGGCGGTTCGGAGGGAGCCGTGCGGGGCCGGAGCTCCCCGTGGGCGCCG